GTAGGAACCAGAAATGCTAAGACTGCAAGAATCAAGTTGCAGGCTGGGTGAAACCATGTCGAAGCTGAAACATCACCGGGTTGTCCGCTGCACCAAAGAGAAGAGACAGCAAAAGTCTGCTAGACTTTCCTTCAGGTACCATTTTACAGAACATCTACCATAAGACAGACAGGGTGCTAGATGCTGTTATGCATGACCTCAGTTAGCCCCATTAAAAACAAACAAAAACCCTCCCCAAATCTAACATTCTAACATCCCCAAATGAAAGCAAGTATTTTCATGGACAACAAGATGGGGGGAGGGGAGCCTCAGGGAGGCTAAGCCAATGTAGCATCGCAAACCCAGTAAATGACAGATCCAGGATGTGAACTCAGATCTCCACTTACTGCTTAGAAGAAGAAATTTACTTTCTGGAAAAGAAGCAATGAGAGACAGATGCAGGAGAGAGCATGGTGACTTTTTAAAAATTGCTTTTACAAGTTTCAAACTCATCTCAAACTTATAAAAAAATTGCCAAGTACAAAGAACATTTTCTTTCCTCTCTGAACCATTTGGAGTAAAATGACATGATGCCTCATCACCACCAGAAACTTCAGTGTGTCTTTAGTACAAATAAAGACATTCTCTTCACAAACCACTGAAGCTGGAAAATTAACATTCATCTCTTACTCCTAGCTCATCTGTAGACCCCGATCAAGTTGTGCAAACTGTCCCAACAATGTTTTCTTTTATAAGAAAGCATCTGATCCAGAATCAAGTGTTACATTAAGTTGTCATGTCTTTTTAGTCTCCTTTAATGGAATTAATTTTGGTGGCCTGGGTGGTTCAATCGGTTAAGTGTCTGACTCTTGGTTTCAGCTCAGGTCATGATCTCAGGGTTGTGGGATTGAGCGCCTTGCTGGATTCTGCCCTCAGTGGGGAGTCTATTTGAAGATTCTCTCCCTCTGCCCTTCCCCCCACTTGCGCCAGCTGTCTCTCAAATAAATGAATAAATCTTTAAAAAAATATGGAATTAACTTTAATATAATGTAGGGTGAAGAGAAATCAAGCCTTTGGAGGTCTCTGGCTCTCCAAGGGTTGGGTGGAGAAGTGGATGGTGAGAGGTCCCTAGCCACCTTGGACATGAGTCCAGAGGGCCATGGGAGCTGCCTCTGGAAATCCTCTCTGTCCCCTGGCCCGGGGCAGCCTGAGAACAACCTGTGGGCACTGGGTATGACTCCAGCTTAGACTTTTCACTCAGCACTAGATAAACCCTTATGAAGCTAAATCTTTGACAAGGACAATCCGTGTGGTTGACTGGTACATACAGGCAGAAATGCTTCTGGAAAATGAATTTCATCCACTGCTTATCAATTTTAGTCTTTTCTTTTTTATGATGATGATGTTTAATAATGATAATAATTATTATAGCCAATCTTTATTGAGAAGATACTCTCGGCCAAGAATTGTACTAAATGCTTTAATTTTATCATCCCACTTAATTCTTCCAACAATATGAGGTGTGCTTTATTATTAATCCTATCTTATAAGTGAGGACACCGAGGCATGGAAAATTAGAGAAAGTTGCCTAAAAATCAGATGATGAGGCCTCCAGAATTCTTATACCGTATCATCACCTCATACATATGCATGAGAACATTTAGTGTTTTGTTTAATTCCTAATGAAATAAAATGAACTTCAATCTCCTAAAATCGGAATCTTCCTTCTCTAAAAGACGTACTGAGAAAATGGCTTTTCAGTTTAACAGAGAGACTTTGGCCTGAGTCTAACTCAGGAGGACTGCTGAGATTATACCCTCCTCCCCCAACACAGAAATCAGGCCAGGCAGTCATTAAGTGCTGGTAAAACATTTATTTTGCAAATTCATTTGGTGATCAGATGCTAAACAGAAAAAGCCCGTATCTTTTACTTTATATCATTTCTTTAAGCTCTGAAAAACCAAAATAAGACACAATGTCATACATGTGGACTTGTGAAATACGGAGTAAAATAAAATAATGCAGAAAGAAAAGCTGGGGTGGTGTTATCCTTTTGAGTAGGTGTGATTCACTTGCTCGAATGCTTCAAGTCAGTACTACTGAGCATCTCCTATACACAAGGCACTCCAGAGCCATGAATCCTAAGCTTCTAAAATGAGACTTCCAGAAGGCCTCCCCACCCAGAGGCTGATCAGGATTTTGTGTACAGCCCTGTGCCAGTGTGTGTCTCCTGGCTTCTCTCCAGGGCCAAGAGCACTCCTGGCCTGGGGCTTGGCTCTTCCCCTCTGAGAAGTCATTTGCTTGGATGCAGAAGCCATGCCAAGGGACAGTAACTCGTTCAACACTCACCACTGGGTTGGCAGCATATCAGAGCGGGATCTTTCATCGGGGCTTTAGGCTTTGAAAGGAAGGACAACATTCTATTGTTCTTAAGGAATGGTAACACCATGAGGGGTCTCCTCTAGGAGAAAACTGAATGTTTCTGATCAACTGTCAACTAGCACTGCTGTCAGTGGGAATTACTGGCCCCTAGGGTCCCAGGATTGAGTCATTTTAGGGAAGGCAGAAATATTGTGAGCCTACTCTAGGCTGGAGAACAAGCTTCTCTACCGGACCTCAAGGCATCCAGAGAAGGTGAAGTCACATAATTCATTATGGCTTGTTTTGGTTCAGTAGTCAAACAATTTCTTTCCAACTAACAAAGCCAAGGCAGAAATGTAGAACTCATTTATGGTAATTCTCTATTCAGCGACTGAAAGATGCCCTCTCAAAAATTACTGGAAGATTTTCAGAAGAAAAAATCATGACATAGCTAAGAACTTGGTCCTTGAAGCCTAGCGTAGTATTTGGCTCATAGCTGGTCCTCAGTGTAGTTTTCTTGGAAAAATCACAGCAGAGACAACTCCAGGAGACAGGTACAGGCTGGCTTTGGGACACCCGGGGCCTCCACATCCTGGCCCTGCAGAAGAGGAGCCTGCAGGGAGCACACAACCTGGCAGGCTAGGGCTCAGCACAGAGCTTGCTGGTTGTCTTGTGGCAGGAGGCAGTCAAGATTCTTCAACAACTCTTACCGGGTTCCTTCGCCAAAGCAATGTCTGGTGAACTTTATTCTCTGTCTAACGCAGGAAGATCAGGAAGTCTCACTCCTCGGGGGAACTTCTTGGAGATGCAGACACGTGGTGCCTCCCCCGCTGATGTCAGCTCTGTTTGTGGTTCATGACATGCTGCAAGGTGGGAACGGGGAGGGAGGGGGAGTGGGGAGGTGACGGAGGCCATGCTGGTATCCAGCCTGATTCCGATGACCTCAGCCAAGACCTGTAAAAAGTTAGTCTGGGCTGATCTTCAGCTTGTCTTTAAGGGAGACCCAGGTCCACTTCCAAGATCCACTACTCATCACTTCCTGCTACTGGACTGTGTGTCCTCATGATCTCATACACTTACATATCTGACTCTACACTTCACATTCACTGATCTCTTTCACATTTTCTAGTAGGTGTTTCATAATTTCTTCTAGGAGAGCCTATTGTACATGGTAAGTGGATTAAAATCAACTAAATTTAGACTTCCTTTTGTCTGCAAGGATCCTGCTAATATCAACTGCATGTTGCCACTGGCGTATCTCACGCAAACATAAGGAAGGGGCCTTGTTTAGGTCACTGATCACTGCGTTCCCTGAGTCTTGGAAAATGTGCTGTTAAACCTATGGTGTATTTCATCAATTGTGTTTACTTCGGCCGGTAGTATGGGGAGCTAGCTGGGAGCTGACAGTAAGCCAAGAGGTTCTTTTTTGTTTTTCTCTTCTAATATCAAACATAACAATGAACACTTGCCAACCAAGGATACTACTAGCTACTAAGGGAAGGCACAGCACTGCTGCTATGTATTATCTGTCAGTGATGTTTCCGGGTCAGTACTTATATTTTAGACAGATCATCCTTTAGCCAGTCAGCTACCATGTCAGCCATTTCCTGGGGAAAATGGAGGATAAAAGCGTGAGGTATTTTTTTCTCACAGAGTCGAAAATCTCCTTCTGGAAAATCTTTCTTTATGTCTTCATAGTATTCCGTTGGACACCAAGCATCTGTAGTTCCATAGTAAAATGTAAGCTAAAAGGCAAGACAAAAACATTTCATTAGCAAACATTTTCCTCTTCCAAAACAAACATGACACCAGCAACCTGCAGTGCTTTGAAAACAGCTCGCATCCCTGGCCCTGTAGGCTAGTCCCCAGGCTCCCTCCAGAGCATGGCTCTCTCAAGGCCGTGACCTTCATGGTGTACAGGAGCCAATTAAGAGGCATCTGATGGAAAGAAACCCATCCCCATCTAGGGAGAGTCTTATGTGAGAGATCACCCATGAGTCACTAAAAGGACGTGCCAGCCAAGTTGTGTACATCGAGGTTGGGATGGGCACTGGAGAGATGACTGGTGAGGACAAGGACGAGTTACTGAGACATAAACACTGAGTGACTAGTGACCATTCATTCACTACACACTTCACCGTTTCCATGCACCCACATGGTAGGCAGATGCAATAGGTTTGTTGAATGCATCCAAAGATGAATCAGATAGACTCAGGCTTCTCAATGTAGCAGATGAAAAGTGACCAGAACCCTGGTAACATTTCTACGAATAGGCTCCGTGTAGCAGGAGAGCATGTTGATTCAGTGGGCAGGTAACATACTTCAGGTGAGAGCAAGCAGCTGCATGGAGACAGAGTCTCCGTGAAGACATTATTAAGACCCTTAATGGATACTGATCTAGACCTGCCCATGATACACACACACACACACAAATACACACAGGTAACCCCCGCTTTTCCAAAGTCTGTGTTCTGCTGCTTTGCTTTTATGAAATACCTATGTTAGTACCTGTTTTCGCCAACTGAAAGAAATCCAAAGAGATTTTCGCTTTTATGAATAAAGGCTAAAAGTGAAAGTAGTGTTCAGTGTTTGTTTGGCAGTGGGCAGGTAGAGAGGCTGCGTGTCGCACCCGGAGCACCTCCCCCCCGGAACGCCATTCCACATCCAGCCACCAGAGCTTTGAACTGTGTCTGCAAGCATCTGTGCTTTACCTGAATTTACTGTGTGCACCCACTAGCAAGATGTGTCCTAAGATATCAGAAAAGCCTACGAGAGCTTATTTTTGGGGTCTGGGAACACTCGAAAAATTTTCACCATATAGGTTAGAGGTGATGGCTTTTTTGCTTTATGCCATTTCAACTTATAAAAGGTTTCACGGGAACGCTCGACTTTCAGATAGTGGGGGAAAGAGGAAGTCCCCAGGACTTCACACAATGAAGTGTCATGATAAGGTCTGCACAGTAGGCCACGTACTCTGGCTACAATGGCGACGAGAGGCTGGAGGAGTCAAGGTGAGGTGGGAGGACAAGACGGGCACGTGTGTTACTGTCCACTGATTCTGCTCGAACAGCCATTAAATCCATTAGCTGAATATGAACAAGAGAGACTGCGCTTATAAAAACGTTGGTCTTTATTACAATACCCTTATGACTTAACCAATGTTTAAAAGGATAATTAATACTGTAAAGAGGAAAATATGTGACTTAGTAGTCCAGAGAGTCAATTACTAACAGCTAAACCTGGAAGTGCAGACTTCCTATGAATTACTTCACAGAGATTTTTCTGGGTGTCACCTGGGGTCTTAGTTTTGAATGCTGCAAAGGATCTGTGGCTCATAGGCTGCTCACTTATTCCTCCCATTCTCCTGGTTTTTGCTCACTGCAACCATTTCTGGGCACTCCAAAGGCCTTAAAACAGAAATTCATTTTTCCATGGCTCGTAGCAGAGTGTGAGGTCCTTCCTGTTGCTGGAGACCAGAGGACCTGGCAGTGGCCTGGTTCCTTCCTTCGGGGGTCAGTGTCTCTACAGCTCAGGTGTGGTGTGTCCTCACGGCCAGTGGGTGACTATTCCCGCCAGGGCCACCCAGCCACAGCTTCCCTTTGAGGTATCCTGGGAGGACCAGCTGCCTGCAGGCATTAATTACCTACCAACAGGGCTAATAACTTTAGGTTCTCTCTACACCACGTCCTACCCTTACCCACAAGAACCTCTGAAATTCTATCTGGGAAATAGTGTATGGAACAGTCATCGTGCCCAGTGGTTCTGCACTTCCTCAGAGTAGGAAACAGTGCTGCAAAATCTGGAAATGCTGACTTGGGCTCATGGCCGTCAGGGGTGTTCCTCTGCTCCAGCGCACTCTCCTGCCGGAAGATTCCTGGACACCGAGAGAGGCACTCTGGGAGCCCTCAGAGCAGCACAAGCTGGTGGTGAAGTCCTGGGAGAAGCCCTACTATGAAAGGGTCAACCGGAAGGAGGGCCAGGCAGAAAGAGCCTCTCCGACGAAGAGGACTATCACCATCCTGCACCCGCTGCTGCTTCTGCCTCACATCTCAGAGACTCTTTCTATGGCGAACTCAGCATTTACTTTTCAGTGAGGCAATCACCACTTGAAATGTCTCTCCTGAGAAGTCCAGCTTGATGAGCCTCAGCACTGGGGAAACACCATTCCTTCCCTCATGCATGAAAGTGTCAGACAGCTGAGCAGGAATAATACACATGGATTCCAGGGACCCTACACCTAGCTTCGGGTATCAAGAGACAAGTCATGTCCAAGTAGTTACGGGCATGCGCTACCCAAGGCATGTACTAGGAACCTTAACACAAAGTGTTCAAGACGGCCTAATAGTGAGGATTCCAGATTGCCCATATGTTCATCTAATTTTATTTCTCAATCCTCCATGACCAGTAACCATTTAGAGTGGGCTAGATATTGTTAAATCTCTAAGTGATGGTGCGGTAAGGTCTTTTTTTTGTAATTCTTCTTCAGACTATATTCACTGAAGGGCCCTCTATGAAAATCTTGGCTTACAAGTAAAACACATGGTTATTCGAATGCCTTTACACACACTGGCTCAAGATACTTCCCGTCCCTATAGATTACAAGTCATAGGCAATAGATCTGAACAGAAGACTCTGCATCTGCAACCCTAAACAGGAAACTGAAAAAGGATGGGGTGTGTAGAGGTACTAGTGGGGGTTGGGGGCAGACAGGTGAAGTAGAAAGAAAGGAAGAACTGGACACCAAAGCATGGTGGTTAAGAGTGTATACTACTGTTATGTCCATATGTCAAAGCAAATTACCATCACAACACATAATAATGAACTGATAAAAACTGAGAATAATGTGCTAAGGTCTGTACTCATGGAGTCCTCACAACAACACTCTGAGGAAGGCATTTTATCCCTATTTTATAGAAAAGGAAACTGAGTCTTAGTGGGAGTATGTTGCTTAAGTTCAAACAATTAGCGAGTTGTAAAGCTGGGTTATAAACCCAGGGACAACATTCCTAATCAGTTCTTTTTACTACTCTTTACAATTAACAATGAACTGACCCAACCAAAGAGGCAAAGAATCTGTACTCAGAAAACCATAAAATACTCATGAAAGAAATTGAGGAAGACACAAAGAAATGGAGTAAAATGTTCCATGCTCATGGATTGGAAGAACAAATATTGTGAAGATGTCAATGCTACCTAGAGCAATATACACATTTAATGCAATCCCTATCAAAATACCATCAACTTTTTTCAAAGAAATGGAACAAATCATCCTAAAATTTGTATGGAACCAG